ACCTCTGAATATCATCCATAATAAGGCAAAGCTTGCTATCAGTAAACATGATTTGCTAATAAGTAGTAAACTTCTCTTTCAATAGTTATCTCTCTCTGTAATGCATTCACTTATACTGCCAATTAGTAAACTTCCATCCACAGGTAGCACTCTATGATGAGAAAAATTCCCTTCAAGATTCGCCAATTAACAAACTTTCCTTCATCAGAACTTATTTCTATAAACCCTTCAAAGACGCACATTCAAATCCCTCATGAAATCATTTCCTTCATTAGAACCAATTTCTGTGAACCCTTCAACCGTATTAAGTTGAGCAATAGACAGGCATTCACCTCGGGATAAACATATCCAATGGATGCATGAAAGTAAACATTAAGTGAGATGCATGACATTAGATTTCACATTATGTATTGTATTTCTAATTTTGGTTATTCCAGAGTTGTGAGATTCAAGCCATGGTTAATTTTATAAACAATCAAATATTTAGGTTTCAACTATTTTGATTCTAATGGAGTTCGTTTAATACACAAATAAGTTGTCAGAAGTAACAACTCCAAATAATTTTCTATGTCCTCAGTAGAAACCTTAATTCTGGCTAAGACACTTCCAACTCTCAATTTCTTGAGTGAGAAAGCAAGCTATTATGATATTCATATCCATCCATAATTGTTCAAATTTTCTGAAGTTGAGAACTTTCTTTACAACCCACTGAAGCCTAATACCACGGGTTCTTCTATTGCGTTTTGTTTGTATTATGTACAGTGTGCACGTCTGAATCTCAGCCTCTTTCATAATATTTATCATGTTTGTCATAGTTATGTCATAAGAAAAAAGGAATGTAGCTCGTCAGCATCTATTTCCATTCTCTACAGCAAACTCATGAAATAATATCAACTTAGTTTGCCTATTTTAAACATCCACCAATCTAAAGCCACTTGCCTAATTGATAAAGCTAATGAACGGGACCTCAAGATGTATAGATCATCCAGTTACTTATGAGCATAACATTAAATGAGTGAAAAAATAAACAAAATAATAGCTTTTAACTCGTATGTGCGTAACACATCCACAGAAACGTTAGGGATGAGGAACATGAGTGGTGAATCTTCGGAACGCTGAATAGGGCTCATTTGTACACCTTTTACCCCCAGTTTCTTTAGTCGTTTTAAACATTTTTACTCTGGGAGGTTTGGTTTTACGCCGGTTTTTGCCTCGTTTTGGTATTCTTCTGACTATGGGATGTTGAACTAACCCTGGAGTCGAAAGTTGGACGAAAGGGAGAAAAATCAAGTCAAAGGATGGAAGCAGCAGAATATCACGGTTGGAGTTGTGTGTTCACGGTCATTAAGACCATGAACAGCCAGGCATCCAGAGCATAAATCTCATTCACTGGACTCAAGTCAGTTTACAGTTGTAAGACCGTGAACTCAGGCCATTGCCCGTGAACTAGACTTAGTAATACGACGCGTTTTGACTTGAGATCACGATCCGTGCTTTCAGTTCACGGTCGCGAATAGGGACTGTGATCTGAGCCTGATCTGGGTATAAAAGGAGGTTAAGCTGAATGAGAAAAGGGAGAGATACCTAGTGTGAGAAATTTCTTCTTCTTCTTTTTCTTCTTCTTCTTCTTCTTCTTCTTCGTCAGATTTCTAGAGTGACAAAGTGACAAACCAAAGAAGAGGAGGATCTCTTCAACACAAGGAGCAAGGCTGGTATCTCATTAATGGTTTTCCTTCTTCTCTCTTGTGTTTTCCCTTCTCCTAGCATGAAGTAGTCCCTTCTTTCACTTGGGTGTTTGTAAACCCTAGCTACAATTATGTGAATGCTTGTATGGTTTGAATGATTTGTGTGTGGGTGTGTTTAATGTGAATGTGGAGGTATTTTTCATGAAAGATTGTGTTGTTTGTTTAGCTATCAATCTATTTGCCCTTCTAACCTAGGTAGAGAGGAAACTCCCTTTCTTTGAAAAACGGCTTGCAAAGCTGGGTTTTCTTACGGAATTCATTGTCTCCTATCTAGGGTAATGTAGGGCAACCCTCTTAGTTCGTATTAACACCTAGGGTTGGTTGTAATTGGCCATCCTAACTCCAATTAGAGGGTGAAGTCAGGGCAACCCTTAGTCAATAGGTCGTGAGAGTCACTTTAGTGGCTTGAATCGCATTGCCTCGACCTAGAGACCGACAGATTGGCGTTTGTCTTGGCGACCCTTAGTTAATAGGTCGAGAGAGTCACTTTGGTGGCTTGACTCGCATTCCCTTGACCTAGAGACCTAGATGGCAACCTAACCTAGTACGTCATAATTGTGCACTTCCCTACAGTTTACAACCATCTTACCACACATGACCATTCGATCCTATAAGTCATAATTGTTAGCTAGGGGGAGCAACACCCTGTTGAAGCCTTCTCAATTAGGGTCAAATCCATTTACTTTTCCAAATATTTTAGCTACAGATTGTTGTTTTCACAAAATGTTTTCAAACAATCGTAGTAGGGGTACATGAACCGGCCCGGGTCGACATTTAAACATACTTGCCCTATATTTCACCCAATTGAGGTTTGTACTTGGGTCTTATTAGAGAGTTTTATAGTAGTATTCTGGACGAACCAAAATCCCAGTGGTAAGACATTATATAAGGATAGTGCTCCTAGAATGAATATTGTGGGTAATCTCCGGAAAAGGTTAAAGTTTAATGTTGATGTATCCAAGGGTCCTAGATGGAGCTGATAAGGATTCATGTACAAACGATGTTTGTTCATTTGAATTATGAACTGGGGAAGTGGGTATGTCCTCTTTCTAATAATTTACACGCATAATCAATTCCATGACAGTACCGTTCAATACTCTATGTATTTTACTAATATAAGGATTTAAGTGAGAAAGACATCAAGGAAAGGAAATTAGAACCTAAATTGAGCAAACGCTTCCATTTTTTATGGGGAGAAAAGACTTCCTAGAAGACACCCTAACTTGCTCCAACTACAGCCCTGTGCCCAAAAATAACACATAAGAAGACTGATAATGGAGTGACAGGAGCTTTGTAATTCTTATTACCATTTATAGTGTACTACTTATAGTTTAACAGTAGTTAGTATTATGGAGCAATGACATGATGATGTCCATGAATATTGCGATAACAATAAGGTAATCGAGATTTGTCAATTCACTAATGAGTTTAATGTTATAAGAGAAGAGCTTAGGGTCTTGAAGAGAAGAGAAGATAAGAGAAGAGAAGAGCTTCATTGATTAATAAGCCCCAAAAAGCGTTGGATGGATTCCAATCCCAAGACAGATTGAATTCGTCTAATGGAGAAAACAAAAACGGGGCTTGGTGTTCTTGTGTGGGGTGGAAGTTTCGTGCAATCCTCATAAAGGGACAAAGGCTCGAAAACTCCATGTAGAAGCCTAGCCACGATCAGTGGGGTTAGCTGAACGATACAAGCACTCAAGCAGTCTAGGTCTCGCCCTAAACCACTCTCAAACTCACGAAGCAACAAGCTTGTGAATCAAACTCCAGTTTGTATACAATCGAACATAATCTGCCAACTACAATGAATTAAAATGACTTAAATAGACCTTGTGAATCCTAAGAACTCTTCAAGAATTTCCAATTACAATATAACATGAAAAGGAATCCAAAATCGATACAAAAACAAATTAAAGTCAAACATTCAACTAATTTGACTAGGTTTCGGATTACTTAGTCTTCAAGGTAGAAATTCTAGTCTCGAAACAATCTTTGGCCTCCTCGTTCGAGCCCTTCTAGGTATCACCTTGATCATCCAATGCCTTGTCGATGAACTAAAAGAAACCTGCTTTCATGTGGTATGAACTTGGAAACTCGACTCTTCCTCATTCTCTATGAGTCGAGCTTCAAAGAACCCTTCCCGAACCTGTTTCCAGACTTTGGCAAATTTGGCAGTTTTGCTTGTGTTGAGCAAGCACTTTGATCGACCTGGCAAGCATCCTTCTGGCTGTTCGTTTGAGCTCTAAAACATGTCAATGGTAAGAACAACTCCTCTTCTTCAATACAAGCCCTCGAATTCTCACCAAGCCAATCATGAATTGCACACTTCCAAAGTTGGCCACCTGAAATAGTAAAAATACTTGGCCAAAAATTAGTATTCTTCAACGTACTTAGCTTGCCTTCATGAACAATTATGGGAGAAACACATTTATTGGGAGTTTCTATTATTATATTAAGTAAGATAATTATAATTATGGTTAGTAGAGATTTAGTAGTATTAGGATTATTATTAGGGTTTTCCAGTATTTCACTATAAGTATGTACTTTGAGTTTACGTCGTAATCAATCAAGAACAATATTAGAAGAATCTCTCCTAAACCCTAATCTCTCATCTCAACTCCTAATTTCTATTCTCTCCTAATCCAAGGTCTCGGCCGATTCCCAATTCTGTTCTTTCTCATCTAAATCCCTAATTTCTTATCCCGATCCCTAAATTCCTCTTTGTTATGTATCACCACGAGTGCCGAAGATCAGTATCGAGAATCCCTAGAAGTGGGGTTCTCACAATTGGTATCAGAGCCCGGTTGTGGCACTCGTACCATGGTTTCAACCAACTTTGATATCTCAATTGAAGAACTCACAAAGATTCTTAAAATAAAGTTGAAAGCTGCAAGAAAGGAGAGGGGTACAGTCCCACATCCAACCATAGCTTGCACCGCAACCGGAACGATGATCGCAGAGATGGATTTCGAAGATTGGTTGGAACAACCTGGGTTCCCAATCTAGTCCGAGAAAGGTGGAACCACGCCATACTTGATGCTGGCGACAGTGGAGTTGATGGCGGCAGATTCGCCGGCAATGAAAGAAACGCTAACACTGCTACCCGAAACTACCGTGGCGGTCATGACTACCACCGCCATGGAAGCCCCTGCCGAATTGCTCAAGAATAAGAAGAGGAACAAGGCTGCTGCCTCTGTCGATGTCCTCGAAGTGGCGACAACAGTGGCCTCCGCAAAAGAAACACCGGCGGAAGGCATGGACAAAAGAACAACGACCAGTCGCGTTCCGAACTGGCGATTTCGAAAGAAGCAATCACGATCCGACGATGGGGGCCAAGTAGCCATCGCGGAGACGCCCAGGTCGGGAAAAAAATCAGGAGCCGCAGCCGTTCGTAACGACCAAAATCCAAACGACCGCAAAATCAGAGTCCCGATCGAGGTCGGCAAGGCTTTGCATCACCGTCGCTCGATGCAAAGAAGAGATGGAGCAGGGTGGCCGAGTCCCTTCGTCCGTGTCGCGAGTCTGGCTGAGGGGTCATCAGTCGGCGGCAACTCCCACCGGGATGACGATGATCGGAAGCAAAGAGAAGGTGAGCTGGGCGGCAGCTCTGGTTGCATCGATGAAGTAAACGTCGCAGAAAGACTCGCTGGGAAAGGAGACGAAGAAGGGAGAGGACAATGTCCTGGGCGCGGAAACAAAGAGCGCCAGGTCACGCCAGCCTTCCATCTTCGGAAGGGTCTCACCGTCGGAGACAGATTGAAGCCAACAACGGACCTGATCTGGTCGTCGTGTCCCCAGCTTGGCGGGTCATCGTCGAGAAAGAAACTACCAACGACGAGTCGCGTCAAAGGAGAAGAAGGTCGCGCGATCGACAACGGTCAATGAGCTGGTGACGGACGATGAGGCTAAGCCGCGGGTAAGTTCAGAAATGCGGCAGCAACCTCGCCGCCGGGGTGCTTGCATGTCGCCAGAGAAGGATAGGAAGAAGAAGACGCGCGACAGCAGGATCCTCTGTTCGCCGCCGAAAATGACGGCGCCGGCGTTCTTAAAACGATCCTGGTGGGGCCCCCTTCTCAAATCTTGAACAAACTGGTGCCGGAGGTTGGGCTTCGTCATGGTCCTGCAAAAGAACAACCCAAAGTGGAACCAAAAGAGCCAAGGAAAATGTTAACCACACCCCCACACTTAAGAAAAAAAAACAGTCGAACCATAGTTTCATCCATAGTTCGGGGGTCAAAAACTCGATCAAACAAGCATAATCGGGGTGGGGGTGCACATCCATGGGAAAGTAGGCAACTCAAGGTTCACATCCATACCTAACACACTCTCAAAGCACAGCATTAAGGGCTCCAACCGACTCCCACAAAATGGTACAAAAACAGGCATTTTATCGAACACCTTGTGTGAACTATTAAGATAAACATGGAATTGAGAAAATTCTTGCACACAAGGGCTCAATCAAGCAAGGGGGACAATGCCCAACACAATTCATACATAATCCAAGCATTCCCCTCAATCAATTGCACACAATTCACATGATTCAAAGAGGTTCTCTACACATGCACCCTAACACCCAATTCTCCATAAAAAAACATAGGTAAGGTCAAAATCAAACCTGGAGACTAAAGAAGAGGTGTAGGGGATGATGAGGGGAATGCAATGGAAGCGACGAAAGGCCGAAAAACTGCCCGGAAGTGCTCGTCGGAGCCTCGCCGGAAATCGCCTCCGGCGACTCAAAATCGAGGGATAGGCCGATAATGGGGAGGAAAGGGTGGCTGTGGTGTTGGATTTGTGAAAAACCGACCAAAAATGGCCAAAAATCGACAAAGATGGCGAAAAGGCGCGGTTTTCCGGTGAGGGGGAGAGGTTTCCAGCGAGAGAATTGGGATTTTCTGACCACTCGGCCGTGTCGGCCGAATTTATAGGCCGTGGCTCGGCCACATGGCCAGGCTCACACGGCCGTGTGAGGTACACATTTGCCCGTGTCCGCCGACACGGGCTGGCCGAGGATTTTTCACTCGGCCATGCGAGAACCACATTTGGTCGTGTGACTTTTGACGAGAGCTCACACGGCCAAGGGGGATTTTCACACGGCCGTGTCACAATCACAACTGGCCGTGTGGAATTTCACGAGAGCTCACACGGCCAAAACTCAAACACACACGGCCGTGTGACTTTCAGGGCTGGCCGTGTGGGCTGCCAGAACTCCGAAATTGACCTGTTTTCACTCCATAACGACATACAACTCGTGAACAACCCCTCAAGACTCAAAAAACACAAAAAAATCAAAAAGAAAAAGGTAAGAAAATGCAAACCTAGGTGGGGTTGCCTCCCCACAAGCGCTTCATTACCGTCTTTTAGCTGGACGCCAGTCGGTGGATGCTCAATGAGGTGAAGGTACAGCTTCAAATGATGGCCATGCACACGACGAATGTGGCCACCAGCATTCGCCAACTCGACTTGGCCATCCGGCAGGATGCAAGAGAGTGAATACTCGGATGGCCAAGGTGGGGGCGGGACCAGCTCGTAGTGGTCTCCGTCTTTCTTTCGAGCAGGCTTAGCTGCCTGCAGTTTCGGCCGCCACTCCTCCTTGATCTGTTCTTTCGGTGACGGAGTGGACGGGAGTGGCGGCGAAGGTATGGGAGGCGGATCCTGCAAAATAGGAAACACAGAAGGATACACGACAGACTCGTGCTCCTGGTGAGATACAGCATGCAGAGGTGACGAAGCAGGAAGAGTATTAGCAATTGAAAACGTTATTCTCTCCTCGCCATCCCTCGGATACTAAGGTCCCATCATGCACATCTATGAGAGCCTTGGCGGTGGCCAGGAAAGGCCTTCCCAGTATAAGGGGCAATTTTGTGTCCTCATTGATGTCCAAGACAACAAAATCCACGGGATAATTGAATTTGCCAACCTTAACCAGAAGGTCTTCCACTATGCCCCTAGGATGCACTACAGATCGGTCAGCTAATTGAAGGCTCATCCTAGTAGCACGGGGTTCACCTAGGCCTAGTTTCTTGAACAGTTTATACGGTATAACATTGATACTAGCACCTAAATCCGCCAAGGACCTCTCTACATGCAAATTATCTATAGAGCACGGGATAGTAAAACTACCTGGGTCCTTCTGCTTCTGCGGAAGCTTGTTCTGCAGAATGGCCGAGCACTCCTCGCTGAGCTCCACAGTGGCCAGCTCGCTCAGCTTCTGCTTCTTTGAGAGAAGATCCTTCAGGAAATTTGCATACTTAGGCATTTGAGATAGTGCCTCCAGGAAAGGTAATTGGACATTCGGCTTCCTAAGCATGGCCATGAAGTTCCTGAACTCTGCCTCCAGCCTGTCTTTGTGCAACCGAGTAGGGAAAGGGAGTTGAGGGATATACTCCTTCACTACTGGTTGCGGTTGAGGCGCAGGCACCTAAACCTCCATCTTGCCACTCCTGGTTATGATGGCATTGCAGTGCTCATCCGGGTTCTGAGGGTGAGGGATGGTCTGACCGGGTAGAGTACCCGGAGCCCTTTGTGCCACTGCTTGAGCCACGCTCCCCAGCTGGGTTTGGATATCCTGTAAGACAGCCTGTGTGTTCCTCTGGCCAGCTTCAAGAGCCAGGAACTTACCCGAGGCCTTTTCCATGAACTGCTCGATAGTGTTGAATTTCTGAGCACTAGAACTAGCGAGAGAGCCCACCAAGTCCCGCAGTTCAGCCATCAGATTATTTTGCACTGGGGTGGCAGGGGCTGCACTTGGCTGCTGGAAAGGTCGCGGCTGTGATTGAGCATCCTGCCCCTGCATGGGCTGATAGAGAGACTGCTGCTGCTAGAATTGCCCCTGTCTGGGCTGATATGGCGGCCTTTGGAAGCCCGGTGGTCCCTGGGGGATTGGTGGTCTGGAATTTGCCCCACCCCAGGAGAAGTTGGGATGCTGGCGCCACCCCTCGTTGTAAGTGTTGTTGTAGGGGTCGTTGCGCCTAACATTATTGATGAAGTTCACCTGCTCCTGAGGTGTGGTCGATTCCTTCATCGCCTGGCAGTCTTCCACAGTGTTATGGGTGCTCTCGCAACAATGGCAGAGCATCGCCTGCTGCTGTCCGGTACCTGCAATCATCCCGAAACGATCGATAGCTGAAACCAGCTTCGATACCACCTGCACCAAATCAGAAGAATGGTTTCCCACAGAATGTACACCTCGGCTTGGTGCTCTCCTCGACCTCCTTGCAGTGCCCCAATCATACCCGTTCTCTGTCATCTCCTCAAAGAGTTGATTCAGCTGTGGCGGTGTTTTAGTCAGCATGTTCCCGCCACAGACCGAATCAATCAGCTGCTTGTCTTCTGGGAAGAGGGCGTGATAGAAGGTGCCTACCTTGAAAGCATCATTGAAGCCATGATTGGGACATCTCAAGAAGAGACTGTTGTACCTCTCCCAAGCATCCCTGAGGGTTCATCCTCGTCTTGAAAAAAATGGGTAATTTGCTTCTGCAGGTCTTGGATGGAGGATGGTAGCGGGTGAGGAACTTGTCCGCCAGGTTGGCGAACGTGGTGATGGAGCCCGGAGTTCGAGTGTCTAGCCACTCCTTGGTCAGCCCCTCCAGGGTGAATGGGAAGTACCTCAACGTGGATGGCATCTGCTGGGACCCCATTGATCTTGATTCCATCGATGAGCTCGTGGAATTGCCTGAGATGTGATCGGGGGCACTCCCCCTCTTTGCCACGGAACACCACTGAACCGAGAAGCATGGTGATTACTGAGGTGCTCAACTCAAAATTATTGGCTGGGACATGAGGGTGTTGAATGGGTGACCTCATGTCTGCAGCCCTGGCGGTCCAGTAATGTCCCATGGTCTGCTCCCCAGGATTGACCACATCATGGTCCTGTGGGTCAGCCATCTCCTCTTCGTCAGTGATCTGTAGCTGTGCTAGCGCCTCCTCCGCAGCCAGTCGCGCCTTTAGAGCCCGCTTGAAGTTTCTGCAGGTTCGTTCAAGCTCCTGGTCTAATGGTAGTAGATCTCCCGACTGGCTATGGGTCATGCACTACCTGCACACAATCAGCAGAAGCAACCCGTGAAGGCACACAGGTGGAAAAGAGAAAATGCAGTAAATAAAAAGATAGAGTAACAGATTTGCACGTTTCCCCAATAACCTAGAAGTTCCCCGGCAACGGCGCCAAAAACTTGACAAGCCAAAACACAACACCAAACTGCGACCAAGTGTAATCGCAGTCCGGGAATGCAGTAAAATGGCAAGTTCTATTATCAACCCGGGGTCTAGATCTACTGCTTACTCCGTGAGTATCTATTATCTAGCCAACTAAGTTAAGTGATTGTTGTTTTAAGGAAAAGCAGAAAGAAAGCAGGAATTGGTACGGTTTTCTCAAGCAAAGAAGAGTCACTCGGGAATGAGTCCCCCTAGCTCCTTAGTTAGGTCTCAATTGTATTTTCCCTGGGTTGATTTATCGTTGATTAGACTGCGGAAGATCCGACAGTAGCTTGGAATCTCTTAAGCTGACCAAGCCCTCTTAGTCTAACTACCCGGCAGACGACTAGTCTTCACCGGGATAGAAAGCTGAAGAATAAGCACAGAACTCCACTACTGGAATTGGATTCCAGTACAAAGCAGTAAACTGGCTAACTCTCGTATAGCCAATCTCCTACTACCAAATGATGAGGCTAACTCTTGTATAGCCAATCTCAGGTTGCAGCAGAAATCAGGAAAAGCTGATCAGACATCAATTGACTCAATAAACATGCATCATTTGATTATAATCAAGCAGTAGTATCATCCCAACTCATTACAATCAAATCCCTAACACATAGAACTAGGGTTCTTCATACCCAAGTGAGAGAAGGGTTCTACTCCATAGAGAGAGAGGGAAAAACAGAATACAAAGC